TGGCTCTTTAGGGTAATATTCCTTTCCCCTTCTCATATATATTTTATGAATCATATGTTATTATTTACTCACTCAAACTTGTTCAGGAAAGATCTATTCAGGCACAGTGTTTGCCAGCAGATAAAATACATGACGTGCCTTAACTCTGCTCTCTCTCTGCATAGGAGGTGGTGGATTTTCTCTCTCAAATACAGTCCCAAGGGAAATTAGCAAGCAAAGCGGAGTCCAGTCTGGGTCTTGTGGGATCCACTGAGTGTGCCTACACTGGAGTAAGAAAGCATCTTTGCCTCCTCTAACTATTGGGTTGTCCATGTTGAAGAGGAAGATGCACTCCATGGGTTTCCTTTCTTAATTATAGATAGATAGATAGATGATAGATAGAAGATAGATAGATGATAGATAAATAGAGAGATAGATAGATGATCAATAGAAGATAGATGATAGATAAATAGAGAGATGGATGATAGATAGATGATAGATGGACAGATGATAGACAGATAGACAGACAGACAAATGTGTGTGTGTGTGTGTATGTGCGTGTGTTTATGAAGTGTCTACAGCTGCCAGCACTGTGCTGGAAGTTGGGGATATCAATATTGAAAAACAACCAAAGAGCTCCTAGCCTCTCAAAATACTCGTAACTCCTGTCTCTGAGGAACTTCTAGTTTATGTAATGAATACATCTCCCAGCAAGCACTGCTCCCAGGGACCTATCTGTCTCCACTTGAGTTTGAGCTGACTTTGTGAGAGGACCAAATGTCCCTGTGTGAAATGCATTACTGCCTGTCTCCTTAGATCACATCCCTTCAGTTCCTCTGGATTCTTATGGTAAGTTATACTGTGCTTTGCACACACCATGTACAGGAACACTATCTTTTGAAAAATATAAAGGCCAATGTATAGATGACTGAATAACAGAGAAGAAAGAAGTGTGACAAAGAAAAGAGTTAACAGAAGGCTATGTATCTGAGTATGAATTTTTCTTTCTCTTGAATGAGCCTTGAAACTGGTCCTGCTTTCTGAATGCATATATTCAACTAGCCATGAGATATTTTTGCAACATGAAAAATTCTGAATCGAATTTGAAATTTAGAGACAAAGCATAGAAGGTAAGATGATGGGAAACTACTTCATAAGATTCAACAGCCAAAGGCTTATTCTAAAATCTTGGACTCTAGCAAATTTTAAATCAAGTTGCCTAGAGGAATGAGAGAGAGAGAGAGAGAGCACTATCACAGAGACAAAACCTTGTGTATGCAGTTAAAACTTTAAAACAGAATACACTGTGGAGACCTTGTAATTCCGTGGCCAGGATATGAGGAGCTCCTTCAAGCAGCTTGGCTGTGAGAAGACGGATCACCCAGTGCCTGCGATGTTCTTGGTCCAGCAGTTAGCCATCTGGTGGGCCACATGCTGACATAAAAGAGGCCTACCTGGGCAATTTCTCAGTTTCTTTGCTTAGGTTGTTCTGGGTCATCTTTTTTTTTTTTTAAACCGTTTTTGATACTTTGATTGTAGCAGATAGATCAGAGAACATACAAACAGGCACTCTGTTACTTCTCAGTACTGAGAAAATATCTGTATAAAATAACTGAGTTCTCAGAAAATTAGCTATTCTTATACATGAACTATTACTGAGTGTAGAAATCGGCACCATCATAATTGTTCATCGCTGTGAGCCAGAATCGACTCCACGGCAATGGTGAATTTCTATAAGTTTTAAATATAATACTCACCTGCATGGCAATCCTCTTCAACGATGCGTGTTTCTGGACCTCAGCAATGTCACCAACCGCCAAACCAATCTGCAAGACAACACAGCATTGAATCCCTACCAGTTTAATGGTTCATCTAAAAATACACTTAAGGTCTTGCTGGTTAACTTTTGACAGTTCAAATGGAGTAGGTGTGTAATTGACCGATAATGACCTCAAAATGCTTTACTAATACACTTTACAGAAAACTGCAAAGCCTATATACCTCTGCAGCGGTGATGTCCACGTTGGTGGGTCCAGTAATCTTAAGGGTTATCGTAAAAACATAAAAGACTCAAAATAGTCTGAAATTCATTTCAATTTAAAATAAAAGTGTGTGCGGCACTTCGGAGAGGACGGGAGTAATGAGATATCAAATGCAATTGGGTGCACCCATACAACATGGCTGGAAACTCCAGAAGTTTATACTCTAACGAAGACAATACTGACTTGACAACATGGAAAAGTTCAGACACTGAACTGAAGGAACGAGTGTGTATCTTGCATACGCTTGGCAGGAAAAGGTACACTTTAGGGGTGGGTGAGGCACTTGTGAAAACTGCCATCTAGAAATCTATAGCTAGATAGAATTAGGTGAGGGGAAGCTGTTAGCTCAGTGCTATTCAGTGCATATTAAATTAGCCACAGCCACTCATTTACTTGTTATCCACTTAGCACCCGCCAATGCTGAGCCAGCATCCTGCATACTGTAGCCAGAGAGAAGGAAGCCAGTCCCTGGCTCTCCAGGAGGTCAGAGTCTAGCAACCTCCACGAAGGAAGAACTCTGCTGGGTCACCACTGTATGCCCAGTGCTTAGAACAGAGCAGGACATATAGTAGGTACACACATTATCTGCTGAGTGAATGAACAATGAAAGGGTATATTCCAGGGCTTGTAAATTAGAGCACTGACAGCCATATATAGTCAGCAGATACGCTTTATTATAATGTTTTGTTATAAGAATATGCAAGGCTTCAGATGGATGTTCTTCCTAGTTTTACAACAGCCTCCAACAAAACCAGCTGTCTCACACCTGCTGCTTCACACATTTCAGATACTTGTCTGGGCTCTGAAGACATCTGAGTTTGCGAGTCACAGAACAGATCAGTGATTAATATTTAATAGTAGCTAGCATTTATTGAATGCTTATCATGTGCCAAGCGCTGTTTTAAGTGCTTTGTATTGGCTTGTTTAATCCTCATACAACCTATGAAGCAGGTTTCATTGATATGATAATAACTCTGCCCCTAAAACTATGATAAGACAAGGAAGGGGCCTGCCCAGAGGAGATGATGCTTGAGCTGAGTTTGAAAGCTTAGAAAGAGTGAACCCATGGTGGGAGGAGGGTGTTCCAGGCAAAAGAACAGCCTGTGCAAAGCCCAGGGGCTGGGCAAAGCTGGGCGCTCAGTGAATGTATTTGTAGGAGTGTTTAGGAGTTAGGCAACATCACAAGGACCCATGAATTCTATGCTGATGCTTTTGGACTAGATTAAAGCTCCTGAAAAGTCACAGAAAAAAACTTAAAAGAGCAATTGATGTGCTCAACTTTTCATTACCAGAACACCACTGTCGCGACAATGCATAGAAAGGATTAAACGGAGAAATGAGACCCCATAGAGTGACTCTTCGAGCAAGGCCCAAACGCTGCAGAAGCCCTCTGTATGACAGACTCTTGCCCACTTGAATCTCTTGTCAATGAGAAATGCAAGGGCAGAGACAAGGTCTTAATCCTTCCTCCATATGACCTCTGCCTAACCTTTGATCCCCTACACCCACCTAAAGCAGCACACACCATCCATCTTTATCCCCTTACCCTGCTTCATAGTTCTTCAGAGCATTTACCACCCCATGACATGCTACGTACGTATTTGTTTATTCTCTACCTTCATAATCAGTGAATTGTTCTGTTGACTAGTTCATAATCAGTGGATTGTTCTGTTTTGTTCACCACTGATTCCCAGCACCTGAAACAGTGCCTGGTGTTCAGAAGATGCTTGATAAGTATTTGCCAAGTGAGTGCACCACTGTGTGCCCAGAGCCTCACACAATGGCTGGCACTCCCCAGGCACTAAATGAATGTTAAACCAATGCATTTTGTAGTCACCCTTCTTCCCAGGGAGGAAGATTAAGGAGGCTAGGAATTATTATTATTACCTGTTCCAAATGAACAACAACCCAGAAAATACAAGAATAAATTACTTACCAGTAAATTCATGAGGACAATTGGAACAAACATTGTGAAAGTAATAAGCTGTATAAAGGACAGAATGGGATATGACAATTCATTCCTCAGAAAGGGTTCTAGAAAAGAATCACGATAATTGACATCTCCGAGCATCATACTGAAGATCTGGATAATGGAGAGTAACGGATTGCTGAAGGCATCCTGAGAAAAGGCAGTAATGTAAACATGAAACACAAAATGCATAAAATGAAAAAATGTTTCCTGGAGAGTAGAATTATAAAAATTATATTAAAATACTTAAAAAAATACAACTCTACTGTGACTTAAGAAAAACATTGAATAAAATGGTGGTAAAGTTACCAAAAAGATCTTTTCTTGCATATGTAACAAATGCTCATGCATTACACATAAACTTTCTTCTAACATAAACTTTTTGACAATGGAAAAAGGAATTTAGTAAGACTACAGACTTTTTCCTGAAATAAAAAATCTAATGCTCTTATATCAGATGAAAGAAAATAAGATAAAGGATTAAAAGACTTTTGTTATTATATTATTATTAATTTTCTAGGCCATCAAAATCGAAGCTTAAATACGTATTTCCAATATCCATAACAGCACCACCAACATTGCTGTGATGACCTCACCTGTACATTCAGAAGGACATAGAAGCTCAATCCAAAAGCCAGAAGAAGGAAAATAAACACAACGGTGGACCTCAACAAGGTTTTCATAATCACCTCCAACATAACAATGAAAATTCCACAAGTCTCAAATCTAGAAAAATAAATATTAAAATATTTACTCACTTTTATGGCTAACTGTATTCTATTCAGTGTCAACAAAGTCAGGCACTCAGTTTCACAGGTGGGATGATTGAGGCCATTTATTTTTAAAAAGTAGACATGAGAATTTATGAGCAATCAACTCCTATTTTCAGACTGCTCATCAAGCTGTTTCTTTTCCCCCCTTCATGTTCATCTTTATCTTTAATAATTTTACCCTTTGACCACTAGACATTACTTCACCTCAAGTAAGAAAGAAAATTCATAGCTTCCCCATCGCAAAATAATAAATAAATATGTAAATAAATAAAATATTTACGAATAAATAAATTTAAAATAATAAATAAGAATGCTACTCAAAATAACCGAGCCCTGGTGGCGCAGTGGTTAAGAGCTTAGGCTGCTAACCAAAAGGTCAGCAGTTCAAATCCACCAGCCGCTCCTTAGAAATCCTATGGGGCAGTTCTACTCTGTCCTTTAGGGTCGCTATGAGTTGCAATTGACTCAAAGGCAAAGAGTTTGGTTTGGTTTGGTTTACCAAAAATAATAATGCTTCCCAATACAAAATAATGCTACCAACTGCTTGATGAAGAATCACAGGATTAGAGGTGAATTGTGTGATGCGTTGAGTAGGGACTGATGCCATGAGCTCATACACCTGAAGGCCCCTATTGGCGTGTAGCATGTAACAGATGACTTACATTCACCCATCTCACAGCCTTATTTGGTCTCCTTTTTGCCCCGAGCAACCTACACTGTGAAGTGTTTGGACAGATGGTGGGTGTGTCATCTGTCCACGAACTTTTAGTTTTCCTTTGGCAAAGACAACTTGTTAAAAAAGGGAGTCGCAAGATTATAAAGCTTAAAGGGACTTCAGAGTCTCAGAGACTAAGTTCCCAGGGATGTCCACTAACTCGCCAAGGTCACTGAAAATGGCTGAGGTGAGGGAGTGACAATGCCAGGGCCTGTCTTCAATGCTCTTGACCTCCAGACCACTGCTCTTCCCACCATGCCACGTCCTCTCTGAAGGGTCTGGGCTCCCCTCTATGTCATCGTGCTCATGACACACGGATACAGACGATGCGGTGGGAAAAGCACAGTCCCTGGAGTTACAAAGACTGTGGTTAAATGCCTATGTCTTGACTTACTAACTGAGATCCTGGGCAAGTTACTTACTCAAAGCTTCCATTTCTTCTTTTATACAATGTGAATGATAACTTTTATCTCTTGTTATTGTAAACATAATGTGAAATAATGAAATAATATATTCAACTCAACATTTGGTAATTGTAGGAGGTATGGTAGTCTAGCCTTTTTTCCCTTCTAGAGCTAGATTCTCTTGACTTGTTTTTTTCTCATAGGTCACTTTTATTCCCTATGCCTATCATTTCATTTTGAGTAGTTTTCCCAAAAGTAGTAAATGTGGTATTAACAATCACCTCACTAAATAATACCAGGTAGTACAGGAATAACCTTTCCTGATTTTAAACCACGCAGTAACTCCTTGTTCTGTTTGGTCTGTGTACAACCTTACTTGTTGAAAGCAAAGAGGACTCAAAGCACTTACTGATGAAGATCAAAGACCACAGTCTTCAGCATGGATTACATCTCAACATAAAGAAAACAAAAATCCTCACAACTGGACCGATAAGCAACATCATGATAAACAGAGAAAAGATTGAAGTTGTGAAGGATTTCATTTTACTTGGATCACAATCAACACCCATGAAAGCAGCAGTCAAGAAATCAAACGACATATTGCATCAGGCAAATCTGCTGCAAAAGACTTCTTTAAAGTGTTAAAAAGCAAAGATGTCACTTTGAGGACTAAGGTGTACCTGACCCAAGCCACGGGGTATTTTTAATTGCCTATGTGCATGTGAAAGCTGAACCATGAATAAGGATGACCAAAGAAGAATTGATGACTTTGAATTATGGTGTTGGCAAAGAACACTGAATACACCATGGACTGCCAGAAGAATGAACAAATCTTTCCTGAAAGAGGTATACCCAGAATGTGCCTTAGAAGCAAGGATGGCGAGACTTCATCTCACATACTTTGGACATGTTATCAGGAGGGACCAGTCCCTGGAGAAGGACATCATGCTTGGTAAAGTAGAGTCAGTGAAAAAGATGAAGCCCCTCAATGGAATGGATTGACACACTGGCTGTAACAGTAGGCTCAAATATAGCAACGATTGTTAGGATAATGCAGGACTGGGCAGTGTTTCATTCTGTTGTACATAGGGTCTAGGGTCGCTGTGAGTTGGAACCAACTCAATGGCACCTAACAACAACAGAAGTAACCAACCTTTGTATTCCTGTTGACTTCCCACATTTAATCAAGATTTGTCTAGACCAATGATTGACCAGGGACAATTTTTCCACTCAGGGGATATTTGGCAAAGTTTGAAGATATTTTTGGCTGTCAAAACTGGTGGGGAGGCTACTAGCAACTATTGGGTACAGGCCAGGAATGCTGCTAAACACCCTATAGTGCACAGAACAAGTCCCCACAACAAATAGTTCTTTGGCCCAAAAATGTCAATACTGCCAAGGTTTAGAAATGCTGGTCTAGACTCTGAACTCCAGAACTCTTCCTCAGTATAAAAGATATCCTCACATTTTAAAGCAATTGGAAAAAGATTAATAAGCCACTGACAAATGCATGCCACTTGTAGTAGTGTTTCTTTTGATATTAAAAATGCCTAAAAGGTGTAGAAATCATTCAAGCCAGTTTTACCTCTGAAGATACAATAAGAAGTTCATCCAATACAAGAATATAGCAATTGCTCCACACTGCCACTGGACATGAGCTGGTATACCCACGAACAAGGGCAACACAAAAATGATGCTCATTGTGTAGATAACCCATTCCACTGCATTGCTATGATCCCACAAGTAGCTTCTTTTCTAGGGATGAAAAGAATGAAGAATTAACACATGTAGCGACCCGGCCTCTTATGGATAGTTATATATGTATGTAACCAGTAGTACCATTTTTCTCTGGCATTGCATCCAGCTGGAGAGAAGTCACAGGACCAACCCTGCCATTCTGGGCTGACTTGAGGGCCCTTAGTGTGGATCAGTGTTGGAGATGGCCCAGCGTCTTCTATTGACCCGGCACTATGGAAGTCTGATGCCTAAGGAGATCCTACAAGTTTCTGGGTTTTCCCTAGCACTCCACTCCATTTTAAGGAGGCTTCTTTTTTTTTTTTTCCTTTTTAAATTATGCTTTAAGTGAAAGTTTACAATTCAAGTTAGTTTCTGATACAAAAGTGTATACACACATTGTTATGTGACCCTGTTGCTCTCCCTATACTGTGACAGCACACTCCTCCTTTCCACCCCTGATTCCCCATGTCCATTCAACCAGCTCCTGACCCTCTCTGCCTTCTCATCTCACCTCCAGACAGGAGCTGCCCATTTAGTCTCATGTATCTACTTGAGCTAAGAAGCACACTCTTCACAAGTATCATTTTATGTCCCACAGCCCCGTCTAATCTTTGTCTGAAGAGTTGGCCTCGGGAATGGTTTTAGTTTGAGGCTAACAGAGAGCCCGGGGACCATGTCTTCCGGGGTCCCTTAAAGGAGGCTTCCTGAGGGCTGCAAGTTGGTTCAGTAACTCCTGGGATCTTTCTGTCTATATAAGCGCATGTGTGTGGATCCCTCAGATACACAGGAGCTAAAGCTGACCTATGAGTTCAACCTGCTTCTAAGGAGGTTTGAGACATGTACTGAGAATTACTTAGGAAATGAGAGCAAATCATCATGCCATTCTTAAAGACTTCGTGTTTTGAACATCAGCTTTCCTATACAGTAGACCATTTGAACATCAATTAAAAAATGTAGGGACCAAATCTGATAAATACATCATATAACTTAATAGTTAAATCTAGACTATAACCTGTAATTCTTGTTTTAAGAAATGAAAATAATGTCAAAAGAGATATGCCCTAAATCACTTAGGTAAAATGGAATGATACGGTCTAACTCTCAGAATTGTGACAATTTATTGAAAGCATATATATCAAAGTACTTGGAATGTATAATAAACAAATGCAAGGCATTGTTATCATCAACAACCTTTAATGCAAATTAATGTGCTTATGTGATGTAACAAAGGAAATTCTCATAGAAAATGAGATGCCGCAAAAAAGGAATATGACTCATAAAAAATTACAGTCACAAAAAATATACAAAGCGAAGAAGAACAAAAGACTTTGAACCACCACACTGAGAATTAGAGGATCCGTGCCACTTATCAACGAAAGCAAGGACTGCCACACAATGTACATAATCCTCAGGTCTGATCTGAACTTGGTTTACCCATTTAAGAAAAATGGAGTGTAAAGTAAGAATTATGCTATGAAAAGTTCCCAAATTTTATTACGACTTGAATTTTTTGCAAAAAAGAAAGTCATTACTGTTCAAAAATAAATTCAAGGAAAAACTCCTTTGATATGAAGTCTTGGGCCAAGTAGGTCCTTTATAAACATTTATATTCAAAATGATCAAATTGAAAATCTAACTATTGTGTTAGCAAAATACTAAAACTGCTCTAAGAGAAAATGCAGGAAAATAATTCATAATGAACATTTTTAGCCAGGTACACCCATCATGAACTAGTAAAAGTATAATATCTCTGTTTCAGATGTGCAGTAACTTTACCTAAAGTAATATGATTTTTACATTCTAAAAAGACTATGCTAGGTATTTCCAGTCTATGTATTAGTCAAACTGCGTGATTTTATTCTGACATCATACTTCAAATAACAGTTCAGCAATTAATTTATTTTCTGTACATTAAAATATTTGGAAATATAAAATGTATTGAGTACCTGTTGGAAAATTTGGGCCACTTCTTTGCAATATCCAAATATACTTGATAAAAAAACTAATATCATACAGACTTTTATAAAATATGAATTCTGAAACAATAAAAAGGTGTAAGACAAGTAGTTATTAGGGATGTAAAATAAAACATTTTTAACTTTTTCACAATTTCCACTATTAAATATTTTTGCTTCATTTCTTTCTATGTACTGTCCACATTGATTTAAACAGAAAATTACCGTCATGCAAATAGAGAGATGACACATATTCATTATAATTTCCTATTAAAAGACGTTCAAAAATTGCCAATTTAATTCTAAAAGAATATGAATCTGCAGACCTATTTTCATTTTTTTTATTGTGGTAAAATACACGTAACATAAAATTGACCCTTGAACCATTTAAAGTATACAATTCAGCGGCATTAAGTACGTTCGCTATGTTGTGCAGCCGTCACCACTATCTAGTTACGGAACCTTTTCATCACCCCAAACAGAAACCCTGTACCCATTAAACAAACAGTCACGTCCCATCTTCTCCTGCCCCTAGCCCCTGGCAACCATAAATCTGCTTTGTTGTAGACCTATTTTAAAGTTAAGTACTTCAGCAATCAAGCTAGCATTTCACACATGTCAATGACTATTAAATCAGCTTATAGACTATTCATTTATATTCCTTTTCATCCACAAAGGATTTTAGGAGACATTGGGTACCACATACAAATTCTGTAGGATAATCAGAATGATCAAAGTCCTGATATTTCATATATATTATGGGTTTAGCATTTCCAATAAAAAAAATACATTTCTTTAATCTTTTATTTAGAAATTTGAAGTATAAAAACCAGTTGAAAATACCTTGGTGTCTAACATTTCTGAATGATTACTAGTTTCATTGATGATTCCAGCTGAGTTGAAACCCATTCCTGGCTTTATATTGATAACAAGAAAGGTCATAGGTATGAGACCAAGACAGTAAGATCCCAGGTTCATTATATGGGCTCTAAACCCATAAGCCAGCCTACAAAGAAAATAACCACATCATAATGATTCATTTCAGTCAAAAATACTTACTTATGATACCTGTGGAACAACTGGTTATAATCTCTCTCAGAAATCTAGTTGTTACATTCACTGAACTTTAGCACCAAGAAGATGTTCTAATTCATTCATTTTCAGAAAAGGAAGCTTAACTTCAGAGCAAATATGACTTGCTGGTTGTATCTCACCAGTTAATGGAGAAGCCAAGACATTAGCCCATATGTTCTGACTCCAAGTTGCATGCTTTTCCATAGCAAACACCTCTCACCTCATTGTCCACTGATCGACAGGGTTTGGAATGTTTCATGTCCTATATGATGATTTCCCCCTCAAAATATTTTGTTTAATGCCAAACAGAAACAATGCCAGCATTTTTAACACCAAAATTTGTCCTTGATGCCCATTGTCTTTCCATAGTATGAGATATTAAAATAAAATATAAAACATAAAAATATCATTAAACTGTAATAATTTGGAAGACTTTTAAATAAATTTAGCAGAACACTGGTAAAAAGGAAATACTACTCAATACCCACCATTTCATATATAAATATTCTTTACAAACAGGATGGTTGAGAAGCTCTACACGGTTATGTTGTACCATTGCCTGAAAAATAAGGAAAGAGAATAAAAACAAAGCATATTAAAATACTGAGTATAAGCGAAGCTTTTTCTGCTGGTGTATAACTGTGTTTTTATATTATTATGAAAGGGACACTTGCTTACTTCAGAAAATTTGAAAAATTAAAAATGATATCAAGAATAATAATTTTTAAAAGCATTAGCTAGAGATAACGACTTTATACAGATGCAATTATTTGAGTCAGTTTGTGTCCTTTGATATCTGGCTAGTTGAGAAAGCATACGTTTTTTAATCATACAAGATTACAACTAGAAAGGGCATTAAAGGTAAATAAGCAAGAGTTCTACCCTCCTGTACTTGAAGGAATTCAGGCTTATCTTTCTAGAAGAATTTTAAATAGTAGAGTCTACATCAAGAGTAGTTAAATTAGTCTTTCGATCATAAATTTTTATGTGAGCTATTGGGAACTACTAATATCTATTTCAAAATTAATTTTTAATTATTCAGGAAATACATAAGTGCATTCTCTTTCAAAATATCAAAACATTGGCATAAGGCCAGAGTTCCCACGACATCCAATCTCTAGTCCCAGACCCCACGCCATTCCCCAGAAGTATCATCATTTTAATTTGTTGTGTATCCTTCCTAATCTTTTCCTGTATTTTTACATACAAACATGCATGTGCAGAAACTAATATATAACCATAGAAAATATACACAATTATTTTGCATTGATGTTTTTAGTCAAATTATGTCTTCAACTTGCTTTTTACAAAAACAGACCTTTTTACAGCAATTTTAGGTTTACAGAAAAATTGTTCAGAAATGACAGAGTTCTCATACAACCCCCTTCCCACCTACACACTGTTTCTCCTATTATTACTATCTCACATTTGTGTGCTACATTTGTAACAATCGATAAGCTTTTATTGATACATTATTATTAACTAAAAACCATAGTTTATATTAGGGTTCACTCTGCCTTGCACAGTTCTATGAGTTTTGATGAATGCATTATGTCATATGTTCCATTATAGTATCATACAGAATAGTTTCACAATCCTAAAAATGCCCTACACTCCACCTATTCATCTCTTCCCACCTCCACCTGAACCCCTGGCATTCACTGATCTTTATTACTATCTCTATAGTTTTGTCTTTTCCAGAATGTCATATACTTGGAATCATACAGTATGCTTGCTTTTTCATTCAACAATTGTTGTTATATGCCGTTGAATGGTTCCAACTCATAGCGATCCCATGTACAATGGAACAAAACACTGTCCCGACTTGTGCCATCCTCACAATCGTTGCTATGTTTGAGCCCACTGTTGCAGTTACTGTGTCAATCCATCTCATGGAGGGTTTTCGTCTTTTTCACTGACCCTGTACTTTACCAAGCATGATGTCCTTCTCCAGGGACTGATCCCTCCTGATAACATGTCCAAAGTATGTGAGACAGAGTCTTACCATCCTTGCTTCTAAGAAGCATTCTGGCTGTACTTCTTCCAAGTCAGATTTGTTCATTCTTGTGGCAGTCCATGGTGTAGTCAATATTCTTTGCCAACACCATAATTCAAAGACATCACTTCTTCTTCAGTCTTAAGTGTTGTTGTTGTTGTTAGGTGCTGTCAAGTCAGTTCTGACTCATAGCGATCCTATGTACAATGGAAGGAAACACTGCCGGGTCCTGCACCATGCCCACAATCTTTGTTATGCTTCAGCCCATTGTTGCAGCCACTGTGTCAAGCCATCTCACTGAGGGTTTCCCTCTTTTTTGCTGACCCTCTACTTTACCAAGCGTGATGTCCTTCTCCAGGGACTGGTCCCTCCTGATAGCATGTCCGAAGTATATGAGACAAAGTCTCACCATCCTCACTTCATTCTGGCTGTACTTCTTCCAGGACAGATTTGTTCATTCTTCTGGTGGTCCATAGTATATTCAATATTCTTCTCCAACACCATAATTCAAGGTATCAGTTCTTCAATCTTCCTTATTCATTGTCCAGCTTTCGCACGCATATAGGACGATGGAAAATACTATGGCTTGGATCTGGTGCACCTTAGTCCTGAAAGTGACATCTTTGCTTTTTAACACTTTATACCCTTTCATGCCTGGCAGTACATAGAGTGAGCAAGATTTTTTTCAGCCTCTGGGGTTTGTTAGGAAGCTGCTATACCACTGATAGTGTATGCTGCCACAAGGCAGGGGCCTTTATGACTGTTTGAAACTGAAGAAAAGCGTGTGTGCCACAAACTACTGTTTTTACAGGGTATTATATGAGGTATCTGAATTTTTGGTAGGAAAAAAATAAATTTTGAAAATTTTTATTTGTTACACACAATGGGGGCTCTGGGGTACAATTAGTGATATTTCATATGTACCACTAAACACTTAGAGTAGGCTTATGAGAGGGGGTATGAAAAAAGAAAATCCTTATCACCTAACAAAAATTCAGACACACTCAATGATTCAGCATGTGTCCATTAGTGAAAACACATAGTATTAACAAAAAATTCAAAGCAGAAAATAATTGAGTCACGAAAGGGTTCAAGAAGTCTTTTGTAGAAGATTTGCCCAATGCAGTACATCGTTTGATTCCTTGACTGCTGCTTCCGTGGGTGTTGATTGTGGATCCACGTAAAATGAAATCCTTGACAACTTCAGTCTTTTCTATTTATCATGATGTTGCTTATTGGTCCAGTTGTGAGGATTTTTGTTTTGTTTATGTTGAGGTGTAATCCATACTGAAGGCTGTGGTCTTTGATCTTCA